TCAGGGTTCAGGGTTTAGGGGAGGGACTGTAGCAAAGGCAAACACATTGTCTGCAGCTTGTACAGGCTGTAAGAGATGTCGGGCGGGCGGCTTAAATTCGAGATTTTAATTGGCTGTGCGTATCAGAGGTCTGGAATAAAGCGTAAGCTAAGGCAAGCGCCACCGAAGGAGCTGCTTGATCTAGCAGGCCAGGTCTTGCTCACGCTCGTAGCTTGCAATTCGATTTCTGTGGTGCACATTTGCAATTTCTCAGGCACGAGGCGATGAGCGTGATGAGCTGGGAGCAAGTAGGAAGACGTTTTTGAGGCCCAGGGTTTCAGCCGCTGAAGCATGATGCGACATTTTGATTTTGACGGCAGCCCGCTTAAAAGCAGGTCATCAATGCCAGAGGCTGTGTAACAACTCGATAGTAACAGCTCCGCTGTACTTACTGTAGTAGACTGGTATTGGCAGGTGTTACAAGTTGTACAGCCCCATGGCAGGTGTAGTGTTGACCCGCCTTGCTTGCAGACTGCCAATTCTCGTGCTAACCGCGTGTTGGTGGATGGGTTGCAAGAAATTGAAAGAAACCTCGGCTCTACTCTCAAGTATCAAGTCAGCTGTGCATACTCTCAGGAAGAAGCTGTAAGCTGGCTTGAAGCAGGAATATCATATATGAGCTACAGTCTAAACTCCTTAAGGTTTATATATGGGACTACTATAAGGGTTACTAAGGGGGATACCAGGAGTTTAGACCATGGCTCATATATGACTCAGCCGGTGGATGCTCCGGACACGCGACCATGCCAATTTTTGTCTCAGTGCTGGAGTTTGAAAAAAAGTGAAAGTTGCCTGCAAGGTGCGAACTCCTAACATTTTATGCTGGGCCTTCTGAGTGTAACATGCAAGTTCAAGTCAGCCAAGGCAGTGCTGGCATCGGTATGGGGATCAGGGTTTAGCGTTTAGGGGTTTAGGGTTTCAGGGTTTGGGGTTTATAGTGTTTGTGCTTTAGGGTTCAGGGTTTAGTTAGCCGCTAGTCACAGCTTTGATGGCTCTTCTGCATTTCCTTAGCTTCTGGATGACACCCCTCCAACGGATGTCAGCCCGAGGATCCGTGATGAGACGTGCCTCGATGTTTGTCAGCGCCTCCAGTACTACCATGTACCACCAGTACTAGGGATTAACAGCTTTTGGACAAGATCATTGGTTTCTACATTGCAGGGGCTGCGCGATTTTGAAGATTGCGGGTGGGGGGAGTTGGTGACTACCTACGCCATGGGAGTCAATCGAAGGTTTTATGAGGTGAACAGTAGTAGAATTGGCAGGCAGTTCCCTGTTCTCATTTGAACTCACCACCATTTGGCATTTGGTTCAAGCTAAAGTCCCGTGCGAAGCAGTAAGTCAAGTTGGCAAAATGCCAGCCATGGACAGCAGGCAGGTCTAAACTAAGCTCTGCTTGGCAGGGAGCGAAGCAATGGAGCAGAACATGGGACGATAATATTATTGGGGAGTATACTGCGCTTCATTCCTTGCTAACCAGTGGTAAGTAGCTGGTGGGGGTTGCTGTCTTGCCCATTCCGGCCCGGCGGTCCACTGTGCAGCAGGTAGATCCAGCTCTTTGATCCAATGCCGTGGGCCTGTCACGTATTGACCAGATCCAACATGCACTTAGTGACTTGTAGTTGCATCAGTGGAGTTAACACTAGCAAGTTAGCGCAATCTTGCAAGCTTTTTAACCTGTCCTGGACAGGAAGCTTGCTGTCCTCAATGAAGCGGAGGAGGAAGTTCCGGTGCGCTGCTGAGAAGCGCATCTCTCGCTTCGGCTGCTGGATTCCTTTCTTGTTCCGGACTCAGGAAGGAGCAAACTCTGCTGAAGTAGTCGTAGGCCGGGTCAGCGTTTCAAGCAGGCCGATGAATTACACAGCCTCATCGTGGACGCCTGGCAGGTATAGCAGACATGATTGGTATAGACATAGTCAACGAACCTCAGCCTCGCCCTCAGCACATGTGTGCACTGAGGGCTTTCGACAACATGGAATTCATGGACAGCACAGAGCATCCTGCAGGTTCCTATGGATTGCGGAAGAAGCATCACGAGCCCATATCCCGCCGGACTGGAAGGACGTCAGCTGTTTTTGCATGCGGAGAGTGAACTAAACCAACACAAGCAGCTGCATCCAAGCTGCCAACGCTAGAAGGCAATGCCCGAAAATTCTTGTGGGTCAGCTTCTTCCATCCGAAGTTTGCGGAAGGAATTCAGAAATTGATGTTGTTCAGGCAGGCAAGGTTCACTTGTGCACTTGTGGCAAGCCGCATCGTGGTGGACGCAACATATCTTGTATCAGGAGGGTCGAGCGGGGTGGCAAGGGGTCTTGGGAAGACCGCACAAATTGTAGGACTTTCCTCAAGACGTCGAACGTAATGGGCAAGAAAAATGTATCACCCCCCAGGCAGCTGCTGCTTCCGTGCAGGAGGGCTAGCAAAACCCTAATTACTTTGAGCTTTGGCGGGCATGTGCCAACGTTGGTGTGAACAAGATTCAACAAATTCTGGAATCCATAATTGAGCATGCCATCCCCAAACTGACTGGTGGCGAGTGGGGAGTAAGGGAATAGAATCCCTACTATATCGCCATGTAGTCTATTCTCTTATCCCCTGCATTAGAACCCCAATATATACCCTATTGTAATATCCATTGTCTTGTATAGCCCCAATAGATTCCCACATTCCTTACCCTAAACCCTAAACCCTAAACTCTAAACCCCAAACCTAACCCCCAGTAAGCAAAGCAGCAGTGCTTCTTTGACATCATTAGCAGGAGCTCACCAACGAGGATGGAGAAGTGTGGCCAGCACAGCTTTCAACGATAGCACCGAGAGTGCTAACAGTAATAACAATAACAAGAATAATAGGGTTTAGGGTTTAGGGTTTAGAGTTATACTAACAGTAACTTCCGTAATAGCAAGAATGATAACATGACAAGAGTAAAAATAGCAATAATAGTAAAAGTGATAGATTAATCCTTGCCTACTGAACTGTTAAGGTTGTACTACCACACCCAGGAGCGCAAGCTCCAAAAGGCGGATCCCAGCAAAGCGTAAGCCGCCCGCGTGCCGCTGAACGGACCTGATATTCAGGTGCACCCCCTCATCCTGCGATATCAAGAGGCCACAGATTCTTGCACCTAGACACCAGCCTACCAGAACCTAATGTGGCGCAAGGTGTACTTCAAGGCTCGGAGCTACACGAAGCAGCTGGAGAGCTCGTTGCTGAGCTGACTGCGGCGAGAGCAGGACGTATGTTGGACAGTGAAGACAGGCTTCAAAGCTGCAGGTGGCCAGATCGGCAACTTGCTTGAGCAAACTGACGCAAAGATGGCTGCCGGATTCTAAGAATTTGTCGGGTGGCTACCAGACTAAAATCACTCCCAATTGCTGTTTGTCATCCTTTCGAGTATGCGGTAAGCTGCTCTTGTTTGCGTAGGCCATTACGGCCTCCGTGATGGGGCGTGCGTCTGCTACCCATACCGCATGGCAGCACTTTCCTATCGTGTTCGCGATGCACGCTTGGCTGCATCGCAAGGTCAAAAGGTTTGCCTCCGGCAACTCCTGAAGTTGTCGAAAGTTGCTGACTTAGTCATCAAGTGTGGTACCAAGGCGTCGCAGAGCTGATCAGAATCTTCTGTGCATGGGAGGCCTGGCAAGGGTTCTGGGCGTTGACAGCACGAAAGTCGATGACCCAGAGAGCGTGTGCCCTTGCCTTTGTTCAATTTGCTTTTCTTGAATAAACTATAATATACCCTATAGAATCCCTATAAACCCTAGTAGTTTCCATTTTATTTTCCATTATCCCTATATAGCCCCAAAATACTATAGTAGTTTCCA